CTGCTACAATGTGTAGTGTTGTCAGTTGCTGTCGAGTGGGTTCTCTCAGCAACCCCATGCACTACAGAAGGTAAATACTGCCAGAACAAATCTGTCTCAGAAAAAGTACAGCCAGAGTGCTTCTTAGGAACGAGGATGAAAGACTTTGTAGTCTCTACTCTGGATCGACCGTCAGGAGGAACCAATCCCTGGATACAGACATCATGCTTGGGAAAGTGGAGGGTCAGTGAATAAAGAGGAACAACCCCCAGCGAGATGGACACAGTGGCATCAACAACGGGCTCAAATACAATTGTTGAGAATGGCCCAGGACCAGGCAGTGTTTCCTTCTTTTGTGCCTGGGGCTATTATGAGTCAAAACTGGACACCTCCTAATACTACTATACTTTCTTGGCAGTTAAGTACTGCTGATAAAATAAAAAATAAAAAATCACATGTTGACCCCTAGTCAGTGCAATGCCTGGCTTTGTATCTATATGGGTTTTTAAAGGCATCCCTCAGTCTTCACACTTGGTTTTGGTCAGTTTCCCCTCTCAATTCTCCTGGTGGTTAAAACTAATAAAAGTGTGAGCCCAGATCTGTTGGAAACAGATTCCCAAGGCAACCATGGAAACGGAGGGAAATCTATGAGAACAAAACTAAATATGGTAAATGTCAATTAGATCTAATGCTGTATGTCCTTTAGGTTCTAAGTTTATCATTTTAATGGCACTAAGTCTATCCTGGTGTTGGATTGTATAAGCACTGGACTGCTAACAGCAAGTCAGTGGTTCAAACCCACCAGCCACTCCTTGGAAACTCTTTGCAGGGTCACTATGAGTCGGAACTGACTCAACAGCAGTTGAGTATACTATAATATATAATATATGGTATACTATAAGGTATACTACAATTTTTTAAATTCTTACAGACTCTTTGGAAAATTAGCTCAAGTGTGGACCATTATCCAAAATGACCGCAAATCCCCTCATGCTAAGATATACTTCATACTTATTATACTTTGCCAATGAGACATACACAACATTTGTTTTCATTATAATTTATTCTGTGCAGTTTAAAGTGAAAGGTGAAATGTCACACAACCCACAGAAGCTTTAGGTATAGCAACTACCAGTTTTAAAACAAAAACAATGAAGAGGCAAATGATCATTTACACACATTCCTCATGTCTAAATTTACATCTCGTTATACAAAGGGACTATTAACACACACATAGTTAATTCCTTATAAACTTATTTGTCATGAAGCAAGATGGCAATGCATCATAGCCCAGCATGGGGTTTGCTCTTTAAGAAACCAGAGGCAGTGTTTGGTGAATGGTTATGCATAGAAGTGACTTGGATGGTAATGCTAAACGTTCTTCCTACAACAGGCAGCATGTATACATTAACAAATGGAAAATGTTGCTCTTTGTGCTCTAAGAAACTATGGTACACTTTAAAAACAGACCATACTAGGAGCTTTAGACTTCATGACAACACCACTTCCATTAGTTGCTTGAAAGTCTATTAACTTTTGATAACTCTTCACTGGCTTTTCAGAGCAAATGTCAAGTACATCAGCACTTACAGATTCAAAGTTAAAGGCCAAAATTATACTGGTTACATGTTACATTAAAACATGGCTCTTAAGAAAACTTGACTTAAAAAAATAAAGACTGATTCACTGATGTAAAATCATTTCAAAACGTGTTACTCTTTTTAAAAAAAAACCACTTTCAAATCTTTCGACACATTTTGGTTTAAAATGCCACATTTTGTGAAACCATTACTTAATATTCCAAAGGTTTGGTACAAAAACATCCTGGCATTGCTTTTTAAACCAAATAGCATCTACAGAAGTAGGTCCACTAGTGCTCAGGGCTTGATCTGGCTGTCCACCAGGTAACAATGTAATATTTCCACTATGAAAACATCCTTCCAAAAATCCATAAGATGAATTTTATTCTTAGTTTGGTATAAATATTAGAAATCCATTTCACAATGCTACAGAAATATTTAGTGGGTTTTTGTTTTTTTTGGCATTTAAATCAGAGCAATGCAACCAATTATATAGGCAATTTCCACAAAAGTTTCAGAGGCAAAGAGAAAGGTTTGGGGACAGTTGAGTTGGTAGGGAAGAAAATGAAATCACTTACCAGAGATCTCAATTTCAGATATAATCCTCAAAAAAATGATATTCTTTATTACCATCATTCTTTGTGAGGTTTCAGATAAGATATTAATACTTGTAGATGCTTTTAATGCTCATAACCTCTAAGATTTTTAGTATTAGTCGCAGGTTAGTCCACCTCCTGAGTCTGAAAACGTACTTGAGGCAAAGCTCTGAGAAGTTGACAACAAAAGTACTGCAGCAGAAAAAACATCAGGACCCCTACAGCACATTAATAATTCTGTGTACACCACTCCACCGCCTGCTCCTCTTAGAGGCCTTAGAAATCTGCAATATGGTATCTGTGTTGGGTGTATGCAAACAGAAACTCTTAAGTTTTAAGCAAAGGAATTGTAGAATTTTTGTACTGATGTGGATATTTTCCTTTCCTAGTTGAGAATTAAAGCGTGTTGAGTGTGGGCTGTTCATAATACGTTTTGGGACATATTTCTCAAGTAAATTAAACAGAACACTTCTTAAAATTTTATAAAAGACACTCGAAGTATAAAAATCAATAAACAGTGCAAATAGTATACCTTTATGTGAACCCATTTCAGATCATTTGTGGTGACCCTTGCTAATTTGGGGGGGGGTCATCAGCTATCACATCATGTTAATGCTGACATGATAGGAGGCTTACACTGTGTAGTGTTTTTCAGGAACTATTCTATCTAAACCTATATAACTATTCACTGTAAGGTAGAATCCATAGCTCAAACCCCTAGACTACAAAAGACCCTATTTAAATGTTCCCCAGTACCAAAAAACCTCCGAGACATTAATCTTTTTTGTGGCCGATGATCGATTCAATGTGATCTTTAGCTAGTATAAAACATTAATATGCTTGAAACTCGTATCAGTTTTGTTAATCCCTACAGTCACATAAAAGCAGACAATTGTATCCATTCAGAAAATAAAGAGTTTCAGGATTGTCCCCACTCTCAGCTTCCAGGGATTTTTCTCTGCAGAGTATCTTAAACTCAAATTATGCTCTTTGAATTCCCTTTCAGTATAGCTAAAAAGCTACGATACAACTTGGGACTGTATGCAAACAAAACCATTCACATGAAGTATGAGGTATCAAATATAAAATGACACAACATCATGAAACAGAAGTGATAGTTTAGGACTAACTAGTTCTTAAGAAACAGAAGTTACAAAACAGAAAAAGACTTTGGATTAATAAATTGGCTTTGCAGTTCATTCTCCTGCAAAGCAGCTAGCATTAATACTAATACAGAGAACGTCCTGTAAACACTCAGTCCAAAGTTCAGTTCAGACAAGCATGGAAACCTGACAAGAGCTGCTTTACAGTTGCATGGGCAGAATTCTCACCTATCTATTTTCTCCTCAATGCCAAGTACCTTTCAGGTACTTGATGTTTGTGAAGTGTTTTCTCCAGAACGCATGCCTTGAGCATGAAACCCTTCCGACCGTTGAAGATAGTACTTAGATTCCTAAGTTAACAAAACTAAAATCCTGAATAAGTTACCACCTCCTCCCTCCTCAAAAGAAAGTACTTCATAGAGGATAACTACTTCTAGCAACAGTAAGAGTCAGAACTAACTGCCCCAAGAAATAATGGCTATCCTCGAAAGAAAATTGAATGCACACATCTTTTTACTCTAAGACGCCATCAATCGTTAAGATGCACCAAACAAATCACCAAGAAAAACACTGCCAAGTGAACTGTAACACAATGTTTCACTATAGAGAGTATTTATTTAATATTTACCCAAAGAGCTTTTTAGAGTTAAACAGATCAATATAAAATATAATCTGATCTTGCGCAGACAAAAAGAGTGGAGCACACTGGTGAAGTTATGACTGTCACTTCCTATTCTGAATCCACCTCTTCTGAATCACTTTTCAAACCACAGTCAGGGATGTCTGCATTTTCCCCAACAACATCCTCTGTGATGTCAAGAACACTAGTGGTACGGCATTTCCTAGGTGTGTCAGCAGGAAGCTTGGGACACAATGTCTGACGCCTTAGCAATGGTCCTGCTCAATGAAGGACTCGGTCACCAGCCTCTTGTTGCTCTGAATTTTGTTTCATCTGTTCCGAGGGTTTTGGCAATTTCCCCTGCCTTCAGCTGCATCATTTAGCGTGTGATCGGCAATCCTTTTGCACATGTCTCACCAACACAATGTACAATGGCTTCATCTACTTGTAGACAGACAGCTTCCTTTCTTAGGTCCTGTAAAGCACTTTTTGTGGCTTTGCAAGAAACTATGGTATAGAGTATCAAGCATGCGCCCTGCCGCTCTGTTTCCATGCCTTTCCTCAAACACAGTCACTTTTCGTTTCAATGCTGACTCGTAGTGTGATCTTTTAGAAGGTATCTTTAAATGGCAATTAACCCCCTCATGTTGGATACCAGCAATACACAAAAGTGCTCTGACAGGCTCTAACCACATGCACAGGCTAGGACAACTGGATCAGGACTCTCACCAGACTAACAGCCATTGTAGGACACAGCCCGATTTCAGACAACTTAAAATGTGAAGAAAAACATACATTTTGGGACTAACAAAATACGGGGTTTCAAGTCTGTAACGTTTACCAGATTTGCACCAATGCAAACAATGAGCCCGAGAGACATGTATTATATATCTATACATATAGCTAATAAAGCTAAGGTCATTTTAAGATGAAATGGTCCAATTTGGTTTCAATTCCCTTTATTTTTATATGGCTTACATGTATTTTTGTGGGGGGTTTTCCCCAAAATGGATGTAACATCCAAACGTTCTTCAGTCCTTGAGAAACTTTTAAAACCAAGTCACTATAGACAGAGATTCCCAGAAGCCATTCCTCATCCGCGAGTAAAGGAGTACACCTAGGGTCAGTGCCCTTGGTCTGCAGGTGCCCTCCTTTGGCGAGCGGATCGGACCCTGTGTTGCGAGGCTGCAGTAGTGTCTTCTCCTTCTGTGCCTGAAGGCTCATGATCTCCCTCCTGGGATCCTGTGTCTCCCACCAGTTCCCGCAGAAACTTGAACTTAGATAAAAAAAGGTGCCATACAAAATACCAACCTAAAGAGAGACAAAAAAGATTAAGAAAAATTATTACATAGAATTTATAATGCTATAGACTCAGAACACACCAGTTTAACAGGGATAAGGTGGTAGGCTACAAAACAGTCTTATATAAATAAATATCAACTAAACATATACATATGTGCAAGGCATAAAAATAAACTCTAAGACTACACCGTGGTGGTAATAACAAGTTTCTGCTCTTGTGGAACTCCGAATCACAACTCGGTCCAGCTACTAAAACGGCAATGATTTGGGTACCCTAAATAAAAGGGAAATGTGCAAGACTTAGAGTCAGTGAAGCAAAGGAACACACTCAGCATTTTTCAAGCGTAAAAAACTGAAGAAAAATTAAAGCCTCTAGAATTCTATAAGCAAAATACTGAACAACACTGGAAGCATCCAAAGAAGGTAGAAGGAATACACACAGTCACTGTGCCCCGTCCTCACGCCCCTCAAAACAGGTTGATGATCAACCATTTTAGGAGTAATATATGATCTAGAACTAATGGTATTAAAGGAAGAAGTCCAACCTGCACTGACGGCACTGGCAAAAAAACAAGGTTCCAGGAGTTGATAGAGTATCAACTGCAGTGTTTCAACAAATACACTCAATGATAGAAGCATTCATTAATCTATGCCTAGAAATCTGGCCAACAGACTTATAAAACCCATATTTGTGCCCATTCCAAAGAAAGATGATCCAACAGAATGGAGATTATCATCAAACAATACCATAATTTTTGCTAAAGATAATACATAACAGTTGGCAACAGTACATGGAATGACAGTTGCCTGCATTTTATTTGCTATTTAAATGCTGCATGAATCGTTAACAATGGATAACATTGCAAAAAATGGGAATTCTGGAACACTTAATTGAGCTCTTGAGGAGCCTATAATAAACAAGAGGCAGCTGTATGAACAGAACAAAGGAATACTGTTGCTAACTGTCTTGGAGTCGCTTCTGACTCATAGCAACCCTGTATAAGGTTTCCAAAATGCACCTGGTGAGTCTGAATCACCGACCTTATACTTCAAACCAAACTTGTGGTCCGCTGCATTATCCCACAGTACCCCACCAGGACTCTATGGTTAATTGTAGTCATTATTAATTAGAAACGAAGGAGGTAAAAATCACATCATTCACAAAGGACATGTATTCATCTGTGTGCTGAGTGAATAATGTGAGAAGCTGGACTCTGTGAAGAACAGTGGCATCAGGATTGGAAGTTCATTAACAACCTGAGCCATACAGATAACATAACCTTGCCCATCAGAAGTAAGGAAAAGTTGAAACACTTACTGATGAAGATCAAAGCCTTCAGTATGGATTACATTGCAACATAAAAAAAAAATCCTCCCAATTGGACCAATTAGCAATGCCATAATAAACAAAGAAAATGTTGAAGTTGTCAGAGTCTTCATTTTGTTTGGATCCACAATCAACACCCACAGAAGCAGCAGTCAAGAAATCAAAGGTTGTATTGCACTGGGAAAATCTGCTACATAAGACCAATTTTCTATATATCCTACTTTGGTGAGTAGCGACTGAGATCTTAAAAATTTGTTGTTGTTGTTGTTGTTGTTAGGTGCCATCGAGTCAGTACCAACCCATAGCGACCTTATGTATAGCAGAACGAAACACTGCCTGATCCTGGGCCAACCTCACTTGCGGTTGCCATGCTTCAGTCCATCGATGCTGCTACATGGCCAATCCATCTCCTTGGGGGTCTTCCTCTTCTTCTCTCACCCTCCACCTTACCAAACAGGATATCCTTCTCTAGAGACTGGTCCCTCCTGACAATATGTCCAAAGCATGAGAGACGAAGTTTGGCCATCTTGG